GATTTAGTTTTTATATCAAGCTAAATTAAATGTTTTCTTTAAGGGTGCCAACATAATCAATAATATAATCTAACAAACTATAAGACAAAATAACTAAACTAAAATAGAATAAAATGAAATAGCATAACATAAAAATGTGCACGACAAAGCACAACCATAGTGATTAAAGAAAACAAAGCTTCCGGTTGGGTGGAAGGGTAAGTAAAATACAATCTTAAAGAGCGTGAGTCTAGACACTTTCTTGAAAAACAAGGCTGAAATGTGGGTGACTAATGGTATGAGGGGTTTACATGTTATTAAGGTGAAACAGGTGAGAATCATGTAATTATGTTGCAGAAATAATATTACTGAGAGCTTTGCCAACCACTTAAACATTGTAAAAGTGAAAGTACTTTAAGCTAAACAATGAACTATTGACTACTGCACAAGCCTTGACTACAAGGGTGAGGGGAGTAGAGTACACCAAGGACAAGTGAGGGAAGAACTAGTACTCCCTTAGGGGTCATTTGCACCCATTAAGAGCTTAAACTTATAACTAAACATGTAAAACCTGTTTATAAGGCTGTCCTACATTTCCTTGCACTTACAACTGATGCTTTAACATGAACCTACTGTGAATTTGCGCACTTTCAATTCTGTTTTTATCGGAGTTATTCAATCATTCCTACCTATTTACTTTGTCAAACATCGGTAAACTCAACTGGACTTGAATTCCTAGGGACTATATTAAAATTCAGAAAGAGAAATAAAATTTCGTCATTTCTTGTTTACATTATACATAAAACATGAAATCAGGCATTTTCACATAATAGTAGTGCAAAAACGACAAAGAATTGCACATGCAAAGTTGTTGTTTTGCTTACTAAACCTATTAATTCATTGACCTTCTTGTTGCCATCTTGTCGTTGGATATTTTTAAATATCCAATGACAAGATGGCAACAAGAATGTTTTGACATAAACATCACGTGCACACACAGTCAATAAAAAAGTTAAGAGTTGCTCACAGTGGTTTCTCTCCCTTTGTACAATAGAAAAACACGTCTCTGTAATTTTTGGTGGCACCTACAAGTTGACACTTAACACTGACTCACAAAATTTTTATCAGATTCAGTTGAATCAAAAAATTAAAATCTGAATCAAATTACATCACACTAAAATACCTCTATACAATTAAATTAGTTCCTAATAAACAGTTCTGAAGTAAACTAATTTCTTTTATACTTAGAACTGTGATTTAAATTCACAAAAATCGTTTTTTTCTCTTTATACACAATAAACAAGAACACACCAACTGCAAGAGATGCAAACGTATCCAAAAGAGGTATGTAAAATATTTTATATTTCAAATATTTTGTATAGGTAATACCATAATTAGTAGTGATATTTCAAAATTCTTATACTTAATTTCACGAGCCGTTAGGTGAGTGAAATTTGAGACAATTTTGAAATATCAAATATCACGTACAAATCCTCCTATAATTATTTGCTTATACTACTACCCACAAACGGTTTCTAATTTTCACATGAAGGCATTTCAAATTAAGCTGAAATACCACTCCTCTAAGCCAATCAAATGCAGAAATTTCTCCTGTAGTAGTATAATAGCTTATAGTATACAATGATATTATGTATTCAAGAAAAAAAATTCAAATTACCTTTTTGGGAAGATACATTTTGCTTTAAGAGGAAAAACTAAAAGATTCTTAATTTGTCACTGCCAGTAACTGTTGACTACAATTCAGTGGCGTTATATTCTAAGTTAAACCAACTTTTTGAACACAAACGAGCAATGAGAAATGGTGACATCAACAGTCACATTAATAACATATTGCTGAACACCATTTAAAGACTAAACATCAAATAAACTGGCTGGCATTGTGCAACATCCATTATATATTTTGCAAAGTACTATTGATGACTCACTTTAGAAACCTGGTTTACAAACTTAAAATAAATGCCACTGAATTGTAGTCAACAGTTACCAGCACTGTATGAATGACTTACTGATGAAATCAAGCAAAATTAAGTACAAGAGTTTAATACCATCAACTGAAGTAATACAACTCACTTTAACTCTAAAGATAAGTACTACACACGTTCTCAGAACATCAGTCACTGTTAACAACAACACTCCTATTCACAAACATGTTCACCCAGATCATGAGACTCAAGCTACTTTTAAAATAGCATTTAACTTTATCCAAATAAAATTTGTAATAGTTACAAATTTTATTTACATAAACAAAAAGTTACTGTAGTGAAAATGATTTAACTTTAATTTACAAAAATTTAATCTTTACATTACTAATTTTGTTCCAACTCATGTTATTACAACTAAAAACATGTATACTATTGCGAGTAAAAAGCCTCTCACTTTATCCATCCCTCCGACCCATATTAATTTTGAAAACGTTTATATGAAGGAAAAATTGAATTAAATAATACCTTCAGTATAATACACTTGTCACTAGAAGCCCCCATCTCCTCTACTTGAGGGAGATATAGCGCATATTGCTCAAGATTTTCTTAGGTTTTGACCTCTTAATTAGCACAAGGGATTTAATGGAGAATTAACCCATTTTAGTATACTTCTTTGTTTATAAGAGTCGAATATTAGTTCATTTTAGACATTTTAGTTCTTTTGCTTACCCTAGAACTGGGAAATTAAACAATTTTTCTATCAAGATTTACAATAACAGAAGTGTGGAGCTAGAGAATGTTTCCCAGGTTTAAGATAAAGCAAAATAGACAACAAAAAGGTCATTTGCAGATAATTTGCTAAAATATTTGCTTACAAAGAAAAGCCCATCTTTGCTTTATTTATCACTTTTTAAAACATACCTTTGGCATTAAATTGCGTCCAATGGTTAACTTACGTTTTATATAGTTCAACCAAGACCCATAATGGGACAAAGAGGAAATCTTGGCCAATGGCCACAATATGTGAATTTCACTAAAGTCATTTTTAGAATTATAATTAAAAGGAAGTATAATTCCTGAGACGTCTGTACATTTTAATTGATTCCTCAAAACGTCATCAACTCCACGCGCGACTGCCTCAAAGCAAACAATGCAGAATATTGTAATGGCAACTGTTAAATATTAATCATGGCTTTTTCGAGTCAGATTTACAGACATCTAGATTTCAGCATCAGTATTTTAAATAAGCCTAATGAGCACATTTCCATTCAAGAAATTTAAGTTAGCGTTCTTACCCGCAAGTGTAGGATAAGCAATGATTTCTCCGAAGACGACTCAAATTCTGTTTCCCTCACGCAAAGGCTGTGAAAAGAAGTCTGCTTGTGAAAAGAAAGAGACGAAAGTCAAAGAATAAACTAAAATACTTAATTATTGACGCTTCTTGTTCCAATAAGTTTTTTCCTTCTACCTGGTAGATTATGCTCTGGAGAATTTTAAGTTTTGATCCAACAAGCTTGTTTCACATCGAGAAATCATGACACACATGTTGACTTTCTGTGAGTTTTGTTTCTGGTCACTATTAATCGCCCTCTGTTGCAAACTTAACGCTCTTTGTCGCAGTTAAATCAGGCGCTTTTAGGTTGTTTAATTTTCTCCAAAGAGCCTCCTGGATCTCAATAACTAAAAGCAATTTCCTTTTGTCCGCAAATGTGATTGTTTCATGCAATCTTTTGACATGCTGAGCCCACAACCAACTAAAATACTTTTCAAGTACCTGTGAATTCTTGATTTCTGCACCTATTTTGAATACGTCACTTATTCACGCTGGAAAATCTAAAATTGTGCTCAATGTCAAATTATCTACATTTGTACTACTTTTTTGTTAAATTTGTTCTCTTTAATTGGCTGCAAATTTTTTTGTACTGAATTTCAAAAATGCTTATACCCATTTTCTTGTCTTCAATGTTTACAATACTTTTCACAGATTCTTATTGACTTTGGTGAATAAAAGGAACAATGTGCCACAAGGACAGCAATTTTGCAAAATATCCACAGCTGCTGTCCATCTCACACACTCTCTCTTGCCCTCATTCCTGTAAGGATCTAATCTCCACACCATACTCCTTATTTTTCTAGGTACATGTAACTAAAGATCAAAGCTTGCCCCTATAGGTGTGGGAGTCTACCCTCATTTCATGGCAGTTTTAACAGAAGAATGTCCCTAAACGTAAGCCTTTATGACAATTTTTTTTTATCCTGTGGCTAAAGCGCTGCATCTCCCCTGGGTGGGAGTCTGTAACTTTCCCCAATTCCTATCCTTCCATTTTTACTGTCTTAATATCTTTTAACGTAAAGGTTGACCTTCCCTAAGAGTCACATTTTTTGGCATAACACTCCCCTCAAAAGCCCCAGGCACCTTCCCTCTCCAAATTAAAAACGTACTAATCCTTAGTTTTCTCAAACATGCAGCAACAATCACATTTGAGTTTATCGAAATAACATTTGTAATAATCACAAATTTCATTCACGTAAACAAAAGATTACCTCAATGCAAGTGATTTAACTTTAATTTACAAACATTTAATCTTTACTTTACCAATAAACTGTTCAAAGACATCGCCAACAAATACGACTACGTCAGCCATTATGGTTGCCGAAATGTAGCAAAATTCGATAAAAATTATTTTCATTCGATAAAAATATATTTGCATTCGATAAAAATATATTTGCATTCGATAAAAATTATTTTCATTTGATAAAAATATATTTTCATTCGATAAAATATATATTTCCATTTGATAAAATATATTTTCATTTGACACAAAAAAAATAATTTTCATTTGATATAATGTTTTCATTCGATCAAATATATTGCCATTCAATGGAATATTTTCATAGGGTAAAAATATTTTCATTCGATAAAAAATATGTTTTTATTCCAGAATGTCACGTGGTACTTGTTAGGCTTGGTCGCATAGGACCGATTTGCGCCAAAAATGGTTCGCCTGCCCTAGCCCGGTCTGTTTTGCTGTCGCATTCTGTCGCAGCTTTTTCACAGCTTCACTCAGCTTCACGAAAATGGATTTGAACCGGTCAATAATTCGTTCCGTGGTGAGACAAGCGTTGGAGGAGTATATGCAGTCGAATACCAATAGATCTGCAAATGCAGGGGAAACAGGAAGACTGGAAGGTAGTTGTAAATTAATTTTTTTCAGTGTACCGCCTTGCTTATGCTTTCTTTAAATGTATGAACAGACGAGAGCAGATCTCAAATCGAATTATTTTAGCCGTAAACTTGTTATTTACAGCTTCCTCACAGAACACAAGTACAAGTACAACTAGCCAACGGCTAAACTCTCAAATTGGACAGGTTGTAAACCGTGCCAGGGATATTTTAAGAAGCAATCGATCGTCATTCACACGAAATGCCAGCACGTCGTTTCAGAATGGCGCCACTAGCGCGTATCCTAAAAGACCCCGATTGTCGGGGGCTTCACGTTATGGAAATGTTCTTTCCAAGGATGTGGTTAAAACGGTTGTGCTCTTGGAAAATTCTGGTTCTTCAAACGAATATCCTTTAAAGAATGATACGATAATGTGCTATGCTGAAGTGGATTTTGTCACCACAGATGACGAACGTCTCGTGCGAAATAAAATCGTCGGAGCGTTGAAGACACAAATACCTGACATTGCACCGGATGATTTTGAATTTGTTAAAGTCCTCGGCAAAAGAGTCTCTACTCCTGTTGTAGCTGATGGCTACAACTGGGATTTTAAGTACGTGAAAAACTTATGTAAACTTATTGTATGTCCGTCTTAACAAACAGCAAGAACAGGAACTGGAAAACATTTCAGACACATTTGAAGCCATCCCTGTGGAAAGGCCTAGTACTATTCTTGCAGATAATAGGGGCGTGTCGTCTGTGAAAGAACCTGCCTGTCAATCTGAGACAGATGACGAGGTATTTACATGTATTTGTGTGATGTCAAAAGTTATTTTGAGCTGTTAGTATTGTCTTACTCTAAAATTCTTAGCCAGACATTCTATTACATGCTACCAAAAAACACAAACAAACAAACAAACAAAACGTTATCACACTGCAATGCGACCAAAATGAGATATTTTGTATCTTTTCATCAAACTGCCAGATCAACTGTGTCAGATAAATTTGGAAATAGGGCAACATCACTAGGACATAACCGAGGCAAATTTACCAGTCATATATGAAATAACCCTTGTAATGAGAATATTGCTTCATTTTCTTTTTACCAATGTTTTCAGAATGGCATGAGATGTCTTCGTCAGATGTTTCCACAACACGATGAGGACTATCTAAAAGAAATATTCAGTGGTTCTTTAGACCTTCCAGATGCAATTGATGAAGTTTTGAAGAGTGAAAAGGAGCAAGGTTAAAAATGTTTACTTTATTTAAAGAAGTGTGGGTTTTGCAAAAAGAAGGTAGATGACCTTTGGAAAAATGATATGCCTATTACTGTGTTACAGTTTGATTTTTACGGTTTCATTTTTAAGAAATACAATCTCGTTCCAAGAGCCCACGTGTCTTTTGATCAGCACGAAGACAAAGAGCTCTGGAATAATCGATTTCTAGTCCAAGGTTTTAGGACTTTTTCACAGCGCATGCGTTGGCACTGACCAAAAGACATGTGGGCTCTGTGAGTGAGATTGTAAGAAATACGCATGAATACTTAAATCAGTTGAAACGTTATCTTTCATTTTGAGAAATGAGGGTGGTTACACACTTTGACTGGGTTTGATATAGGAGTTTCCAGGGTATTACCACATACATGCCCCACAGTATCACCATAAAGCTAAGTGATGATACACAAGATGGAAGAAAGCTGAAACATTATTTGTCTTTTTTAGCAGTTTCTCTTGCAGAAGTACTACAAAGTCTTGCTGACAAGGTTATTACAGGTCCTGAAATTAAGATCACCATTGACCCAGATGACCTTATAGCTGATACTATTGCATTCTACAAAAAGTCTACTGCCTTTGATGCTTCTAAGCGTGTTAGAGTGCAGTATAAGAGCCAGCCAGCTGTTGACACAGGTGGAATCCGTCGTGAGTTTTTCAATGATGCCACAAAAGCAATAGCAACATTTCCAGCCTTCAAATTATTGGAAAGATCAGATCATAGGAAACTCCCTGCCTATAACAGCACATCAGTTCACTCGATCAGGACTAATGGAGGTCCTTGGACGATTGATAGGGCATGGTATACTCCAGTCTTTCATTGGATTTCCTTGCTTTGCTCCTCCAGTGTACTGGTATATTGCGACAGGTGATTTCCATAAAGCTCTGTGCTATGTTACAGTTGATGATGTTAGGGATGAAGAGGCAAGAGAGTTCATAGAGAAGGTACTACTCCAAAAACCTGCGTGTAAGATCCTTAATTAATTGTAGGCAATGTAGGCTGAATAGGTTCTTGGTTAAATTTTAAATTTTTATGACGGAACTGAATACTGCTTCCATTACCCACAGAAAACTAAATTAACTTGGGTTCCATTTATAAGTATACAGTTAGGTCAAACTCCTTGTTACAGTATTCATCATAATTTTACTGTAACTCACATGTGAGAACTTGCTTGATCTTGCTTGGCTAAACAGGTTCTTATATTTTGGGGCATCAAAATTGGAAATTTCTTCCAGCAGGTTCTTAAACCGCTAGGTTCTTGGTAATTGTGAAGAAGACCTCCCCAAAAAACCTGTCGGTCGACTGTCGGTCAACTGTCGGCCGTCTGTCGACTGACAGTCGGCCGACTGTTGGCCGACAGACGGCCAACAGATTTTGCCCGAAATATAGGCTACCTGTCGGCCGACAGTCGGGCGACAGTTGGTAATGTGTCGGTAAGATGTCGGTAACCTGTCGGTAGCTTGTTGGTGAAACGTTATGACAAACTTGAATGTTTTCTCTCGGTTTTCGCTTCATAAACATCCAAAATGTGTAATACATTGACAAGAATAGCCTTTTCTTCTTAGTTTTGGTAATCGCCGCTCAAGACTAGCGCCACGGAAGCCGAAACTAACCAGAGAATTTACGCAATTGCAGCTTCGAATTTTCTTTCCGCCATGTTGGAAAGGTAAACTTTGTCCCAGTCCCTCTCGAATTTATCTGAGAGTCAAGTCTTGAACGGGTATTTATACGTATTTTTTTTTATTCATTGCCGGTCATTTACTTTTGTTTTTATTTGAGGGTTTGAGGAATTGGGACTGTACCGTATTTCATTATTTATTTTAACTTTATTGTTGGTCATTGACTTTCATAGTGTTGGTGGCTCCTAAAGGAGCCATTTTGTGTGAGGTGAAATATGCCAGATACTTCACTCGTAGAAGCGCGGATCAAACTTTAATGGCAACAGCTGCCCCTCCCTCCTCATGTTGTTCATCACCGGGATGTAGCGCCGGAGTCGTTTTCGGCAGACAACCTCGAGAGCACGCACGGAACCCACTTGGTCACGGAGGACGAGGTCTAGTTCTCTGGAGTCCACCTTCTTAAGTTCGGCTATGGCAACGAAGTCTCTGAGTGTGCTCCGAGGACAGCTCGCAAGACGGAAGGCACAGGCCATACTGCATTTGTTTTCTCTCATACACTGGAGAACCTGGTCATACCAGTTATGTATGCTGGCCAGGCTGTGGGCGCTGACGCGAGAGTCAGTCTGCTGAGGTTGCTGCGTTGGCTGGTCTTCTTGTGGCACGGGTTGGCCTCTGCGTTGTAATTCTTGCATCTCTGCTCTCAGTTCGGCGATGAGCTTCTTGGCATTCACGAGGCGCCGCTCAAGGTTTTTAACAACCTCATCTCGGTTCTCACAAGGTTCGCTAACTCTTCGGCCTCTTTCTCGCATTCCGCCAACTGTTCTGTGAGCTCCTGGTTCTGCTCTTTTTGGTTTTGGAAGGCCTGCCCGACTCTTTTGAAGTCCTTCTGAAGTGTCTCATACATCTTCCTCAGGTCGTCGTGCGAGGTTTCAGCGGAGGCAGATGACTTTGCGGAGGCAGATGACTTTGCGCTCTTCTTTCTTTTCTGCT